CCGGCAGGTGCGGCTCCACCTGGGGCAGGTGCCTGGCGCAGTGGCCCGGAGGGGAGAAGGCCGTTCGGTCGGTGCCCCTCCCCCAGCACAACAAAGCTCTGGCGGCCCCCCGCCTCCAGACGGAGCTTTATGATGGTCCCGACGCCACCCAGATTGGCACCTGTTGGCGGAAGTGCCCGAGTCACCTCATTAGATTGAGGAATGGGGGATCCACATGGCCACCCTCAAGACTGCCTGGTGGAACCTCATCCCCGGCTGGGGATTCTCTTGTACCTAGAACCCAACCCGGGCATGGGTGGCAGGGCTGGGTCACCCTTCCCGCACATGCAAACACACACAGATTGGCACCGACCTGCCACCCAGCCAGGTTCTCCATGTGCCACCTTGTGAATATCACAGCCTTGGACTCACCTTCCACATCTGTGACAAGCAAGGCCAGGGTGACTTCTGACTTTGGTTCAGAATCTGAGGCACATCCTCTGCCTCTGGCACCCTCATTAGTGCCTCAAAATCCCTCTTTTGTCCTGTGGTTGCTGTGTAACTGGGTTTTCGTCTCCTTCTGCACCTGCCCCCATCCCCTCTGTGTCTCCCCCATGATCCCCTGTCCCCCACCCCAGTCCTGCTGATGGCCTGTCAGCCTTGCCGCGGAGCTGGGCGTATCTGGTGTTGCCGATCACATAAGGTCAGACCTTGGGGCCGGGGTGGGCCGGGGTTTCTGCCTCTACCCGCAGCCCTGGGAGGGCTGTGTAGGAACCCCCTGGCGCATGCATGCACTTGGCATGTAGCAAACACGACCTGAGAGGAGGCTGTGAGTCCTGGAATGAGGCTGGGCCTGTGCTGTGGTCCCCCCTGCCATCTCTTGCCCAGTTTCTTACCCCCTCCTGGTCATCCCTTTCTTGTGCCTGCTTGGGCCTGCCACCCTGTCACTCTGTCTGTCCCGACGTGTGCCTGTCTGTCCTGTGTCCGGCAAACGGATGTCCTGTCCAGATTCCGGAAACGCCCAAAGCATTGAAATCTCCGGATGTGAGGGTCTAGGTCCCTGGCTGCTCTGGGAAGGCGGGGCAGGGAGGGAGGATTCTGGGAAGTGGACCCTCTGGACCTGGGTGTCCTGTGCCTTGGTGGGAGGCGGGGGAGCAGGGCTTCTCCAAGGCTGGGCCAGGCTTCTGATTCATGGGTTTGCCTTGCTGGCCCACAGGTGACCTCTGCCCTCTGGGTAGGAGTGAGTCACTCAAGGGAAGAGAACCCAGGAGGCTGGACCTCCCTCCTTCCCTCCCTGCTCTGCGTACTCTCAGGCCTCAGCTTCTGTTCCTCTGTGCCTGGGCTTTCCCCATTTGAGCTGGCCTGGATCTTCGCAGTACCCTGCTCTGCCTGCTAGGGATGGGATGGGGCTGGGTGGTGGGCGGGGACTGGTAGCCAGCCGGTAGTATTAGGTGAACTTGGGTTTAAATTCCAGCGCTGTCACTTTCTCACTGTATGTCCTGGATCCACTGCCTTTGCCTCTCTGAGCTGTGGTTTTGCCACCAGAAACAATGGGCCTAAAAGGGCATTCACTGTCCAAAGGGAGAGGTGTAGATGAGCCTGTGCTCTGCAGGTGGGGCTGCTGGGAAAGCCTTACTGGGGAACATGGTCAGCAGCCCAGGGTGTGAGTCTGTGTCCTTTAACGCAGGGTTTCTCAGTCTCAGCACTTTTGACGTTTGGCGCTGAATCATTCTTTGAGGTGGGGGCTGCCCTGTGCAGGGAAGGATGTGGAGCAGGCTCCCTGGTCTCAACCCAGTAGATGCCAGGAGCACACCCTCCCCACCCCCAGCTGGGACAACCCAGAATGTTTCTGGATGTCGCCGAACGCCCCTGGAGATGTGTGTGGGGTTAACCCCCCGCCCCCCGATCTGCTGCTGTCATCTCTCTGAGCCTCAGTTTCCTCAGGATTAATGTGAGGGATGGGTAGGCTGGCGAGAGTGATACTCTTGGCATGCATAAACCCTCCCTGGGGGCAGCTGCCCTCCAGGTTGGCTGGGAGCCAAGGAAGACTTTGCTTATCTCTGAAATGGGTTCTCCCGGTGGGGGTTCTCACATATTGCGAGGCCTGCCACTTAGCTGGTGATCAGATTCTGGGCACTCCCGTTTTAAATCCCAGCCCTTACTCCTGCTGGCTGTGGGACCTTGGGGACAAGTTATGTCACCACTCCAGGCCTCAGTTTCCTTGTCTTGAAAATGGGGTGATAATAGCACCCCACTCGTGGACTCACATTAGTTGACCTAGGTGGAGCTTGTAATAACTGCTCTTATTATTAAGTCATACTTGGCCTTCAGTGGGCTGCTGGTTTGTGGGTACCATCACCCCAGAGCTCCAGCACTGGCTTCTCATGATGTGGGTTTCAGGGAGGTGGCGTGGCCGGGCCCTAGCTGTGGTCACAGCAATTGGCGACCAAATTGAGAGGAAGCCGGAAGTCGGGACAGCCTGCATCTGCAGGAAGGGGGCTGGCCCATAGAAGCACTCGTATATCGGGCATGTGCACATCAGCGTCCGTGGGGTAGGCACAGGGGTGTGCACACACTTGCCTGCCTGTGTTCTGTGCACACTCCTGTAGGTACATGAGAGGGTGTATACACCCCAGTCGGCCCCTGGAGCCTGTATACACCCAAGGGAGCCTGGTCTCCATGTCTACACTAATGGGCATGTGAGGTGCATGCACACCTTAGCAAGTCCTAGGACAAAGAGCGAGGGCCCTCCCTGGTTGTCTCCTGAGAAGCAGGCTTAGTCCTAGGGGAGGCGATGAGGAAAAGGTCCTCTACATGCCCCAGAGCCCTGGAGCTGGCCCCACGCAGGGGATGCTGGGAGCTGGCAGGAAAGAGGAAGTGGCGGTCAGGAGGCCCTAGCAGGGCTGAGGTTCAGGAAGAGGGCGGGGCCCTCAGCCCAGACCCAGGATGGCGCAGGCCAGTCCCCCTTTGGACCAGGAGCTGGAGGTGGGGGCTGGGGTTGGGGTGGGGGGCAAAGAGGACCCCATTGACACCGGCCGGAGGCCCTGCCCTTGGGACCTCTTGATTTTGGACCAAGAGGAGACGGGTCCCTGGCCTGGGAGTTTTCTGTTTTGAAGATGAAAATATGTGGGGCTTTTTGAGGCTCCCAGGCCAGGATAGAGGAGGAAGGAGCCGGGGCGCTGCTCTTTGGGGTCCAGGTGTAGAGGACGAGAGGAAGGGAGACAGGGCTTGTCCCAGGACCTCCCAGTTTGAGGACACAGCAGGGGAAAGATGGGGTTTGTCCCCAGGATGTCGTTTGGAAGGAGGGAAGAGGAGGCCTGCCCTTGGCACTTCCCAGTTTGAGGGCATCACAGAGAGGAAAAGGGGCCTGCTCTCCAGATCTCAAGGCCATTGTTTTTGGGGGGGGGGGG